GTGCCGCGCGCCCGGCACTCCCCCCGCCAAGCGCGCTCCCCCCGCAAGCGCCCGTGCGCCATGTGCCTGGGGCCAGGCCAGCCCCGAGCACCTGGCGGGCGCATTGAAATGCCCCCGCAGGCGCCATGGCGCCCGCGGGCACCGTGTTGGGGACCACGGGTCTAGGTATACCACATCCACCGCTTCTCCCTTATCTACAAGACTTGTGATCCTATCAAAGAAAGCTATCAGATTGATCTGACATGATTTGTTCTTTACAAATCCATGCTGGCAGTTCCCTATCACCTTATTATCTTCCAAGAGTTTGCAGATGATTTCCTTAATTACTTACTCCATTATCTTTCCTGGAACAGAAGTTAAACTGAGTGGTCTGTAGTTTCCTGGGTTGTTTTTATTTCCCTTTTTATAGATGGGTACTATATTTGTCCTTTTCCAGTCTTCTGGAATCTCTCCTGTCTTCCATGATTTTCCAAAGATGATAGTTAAAGGCTCAGATACCTCCTCTATCAGTTCCTTGAGTATTCTAGGATGCATTTCATCAGGCCTTGGTGACTTGCATACATCTAACTTTTCTAAGTGATTTTTAACTTGTTCTTTGTTCTTTTTTTAAATTTTATCTTCTAAACTTAACCTCCTTCCCACTAGCATTCACTATGTTAGGCATTCCTTCATCAGACTTCTCGGTGAAGACCGAAACAAAGAAGTCATTAAGCATCTCTGCCATTTCCAAATTTCCTGTTTCCCCCTTCTCACTGATCAATGGGCCTATCCTGTCCTTGGTCTTCCTCTTGGTCTTTAACAGGGTTCAGAAAGTTAGAGCTAGATGAATTTATTCAGGATAAGTCCATTAATGGCTGTCTCTTTGTCACAGTCTGGGAATGGGCAACTGTGACATAGTGGGGATTGTGTTCACTCTGTTTCCTTTGTTAAGTTGTATGTGATTTCTGCTGTTCTGTGGCAACTATGTGTGTGTGTGTACTGCTTCAGTTTCCTTGAGCATTGCACCAGTGCCCATGGCGATGGGAGTTCTGGGTGTGAGTCTCACCGAAGGGAAGGCTGCCCCATCTTTGCACATACACAACAATACCTAAAAAAACAACGAATGGTCTGGTAGCTCTTTATAGACTAAAAAACATGTAGATGGTATCATGAGCTTTCGTGGGCACAGCCCACTTCTTCAGATGACCAGAGTTATAATTCATAACGTGCTGGTTGAGAGTCACATCTGGCTGCAGATAGGGGTGCAGGGCCCAGAGATTCCCCACACGTCTGTGACAGCAACATAGGATGGATCACTTAATTATTTCCTGTTCTGTTCATTTCCTTTTGGGCACCTGGCATTGGTCGTTGTCAGTCAGTAGGATATGGAGTTAGATGGACCTTAGGTCTGTCCCAATATGGCTGTTCCTATGTTCTTATGTGTCCAGGTTTGGGAGCTGCATTTCATGAAAGATGTGGACAAACTGGAGAAAATCCAGAGAAGTGCAACAAAAATGATTAAAAAGTCTAGAAAACATGGTCTATGAGGGAAGATTGAAAGAACTGGATTTCGTTAGTTTGGAAAAGAGAAAATTGAGGAGACATGAGTACCATTTTCAAGTACC